AAAGAAAATCGTGAGAGAATCGTGATCTCAATTCTAAGCAAAAAAAATCGTGATTCTCATTTTATGCAAAATCGTGCAGCCCTAGATGGAAGCCTTTAAATCCAGTAAGAATGGACTCTAACATTAATGAGGTAACTTTCAAAGACTAACACTTTTATACCTGTCACTGGTTTCAGTGCATTGTCACTGATACACAAGCCCTCATCAAAACACATGCAGAATTCTGAGGTTCTGCATTTTCTGCTGCACACAAACACATAATGTCATCCTGCTTCACCCACAGCTAATAAACCAGACCTGTTAGACATCTCTTGCTGCTAAATATCCCTTTAAGAATGTTGATAAAGATGTCCAAAGCACGTATACTTCAATATTCAGAAACTCAAAGCAAAACACACTTGAGACTGAAGTAATCTGAACCGCTGTGCCATCATGTACTTGGCAATTAAACATAAACACAGTGAGCAATGTGAGCAACTCAGCAGTGCATTAAAGCATCAACAGCAGTGTTCAGGTCATCTGGTAACGACTGGCACCACCAAGTGGTGAAAATTGGCAACTACATGAACCCAAAGCTGAGACATACTCTAAACAAATCTACTGTTGCATTGTTGTGTAGTATGTGGCAGTAAAATGTACACAAATACACACATTTCCTTTACATAGACACATATAAAAATATTCATAGCTATCACTGAGTCCATAAATTACTGTGTGGGTGAATCTAATTATTCATGTTGCTTAGCTACAAGTTGTCTCTTATAGTGTACAGGCTCAACTTGTGTACACTTCCTTTAAATATGGCAAAGTGTTTATTCCCATATGCCCCGTGGGCTTGTACCATGCTTTGGTGTTAACCTTTATTCTTCCTCCTTCCTGCTACTTCCTTCTGTTCTTCTTGTGGAGGATCTTCCTCAGTGTTTTGCTCATGCGGTAGGGCCGTGCTGGAGCGCCGTCGTTCACCTCCAGGTCCCACACTACGAGGCAGCAGCAGCACGTTAAAAACCAACGGCGAGAGAATCACGCAGCACATCAAAATTTAACCTGCGATCACCTCGATTGTAAAAAATTAACGCCTCCGGAAATGCACGGGTCAGTAGTTCAACCATTTATGTTTATTCGAAAACAAAGATTCACATTTTCATTGGATTCATTGATAAAAAAATTCTCCTATACAAAAAGAACACTGAATAACCTCCAGACAGATGTGTGTATTATACTTAGTATTAAAACAGCACAACATCTGAACCATCCAATAAAAAAATTTACCAAAAATGGCTTTGACATCCTTTTATAAACTGTATCGCAAAGGTTCCTGGTGTTAGGTCTAAAACAGAATAAGAGGAACATTTTTTTTATTTTGTTTTTTCACATCTAGGCACATAAACTAGTGGCTGCATTCAAAAGTTTCCTGAAAACGCTCAGGTTCGTTTTTCTTTAAGCATAAACCATTAAATGTCTTTTGAAGTCTTGACCTCCAACAAAGCCTCTGTCTGGTTTACAGTACATCTATGAGCATAATGAAAACTTTCATGTGACGCTGATTTAACATGAGAGAAACCTGTTTTGCTAAGTGCAGAGTTCACACCATTTTTGGATCCGTGTGCTTGTGTTAGTATAAATATAGTGGTTATAAAACCAATGGTAAACACCAACAGCCAGCAAAGTAATCATGCTACACAGAAGAAAGAAATCACATGGTTCGTTTCCTGTATGTGAAAGTGCATACAAAACATGATTTTACATCAGAAGACCAAAGTGCGACAAGAGGGTGCCCCATAAGTCCACCACTTTTTGTCAAAGTGGCATCTGTACATTGTTTACGGTCCTCGTGTTTGTTTGGGTTAAAAACAAAGAAAGAAAAGCTCGTTTTTAGTTTTCAGCCTGTGCATCCATCCTGCGAGTTGACGTGTACCCTCTCGGTAAGGCAGAGGTCAGCAGACGAGAAAATGACAAAGAGAAAGAAACACAAAAGTGTAGCAGAAAAAAAGGCAAGTATCTGAGTTGGCTCGAGAGAGGAAGTGAACAGTTATCTTAGTCCCCTATGCCTTTTCTGCGAGGACCCGAAGTAACAGCATGTCCTTTCATGCACAGGTCATCCCTGACAGGCTGGGCGGGGTGCATCCAGTTTCAATGTTAGCCCTACAGTACTCGCTCTCGAGCGTCCAGACCCCAACGCACACGGCAGATATGGAGAAGTGAGTCAGAGAGCCAAGAGTTTAGTAAAATGCATCACTCAGGAAGCAGCGCACGTTTTGGCACCCTCCTCTCCTTTGCGCAGGATCTTGTGCAGGCCAGGAGACATGTAGTAGGGCCTGGAGGAAGAACCATCATTCCTCTCCAGGTCTTCACCTGAGACCAGGTCCCCGCAAAGGAACAGGAGGAGCAGGACGAGCACACAGAGCGGCAGCCACAAAGAGAAAGGAAAGCAGAGACTCAGCAGAGATGATAAACAAGAAGATATGCAAGACAGCGATTATTTCAAGTTATTAAAAGGAAGAAAGAGTTACACAAAGCTGCTGCAGGAGTGCTTCTGCACCGTAACTAAACATGAACAGCATACTTACAAAAGCACAGGAACAATGTGTCCACACACATAGCATAGACGTTAAAAAAGCCATGTGCGATCATGTAGGATCCAAATATCACCGTCTGAAAGAGTTAACAGGGGAAAGTCGTACACTTGTAACTGTAGTCTTGTGTTCCTGCTTTATTGTGCACACTGCATTGCAACAAACGGCAAAAACATTATGAAGAATATAAATCGCTGAGTCATAAATCCTGGAGCAAATTAATTAGCTTGTGCAGCACTGTAAAAACTGCAACTGTGGAAAGCTGTGAAGCTTTCCAGAACAACTCTGAATAAATATGTAATTACCAAGAGTTAAATATTTATTATTGAATATTTGCCAAAATAATGGTTCGACTATATTTAAACAAAACACAAGTAGAGGAGCGCAGCTTAGAAGCACTGGTTGAGTCTGAACATAAGAAGTGATTTTTCCACTGAACCAAGGAAACAAAGTACAACAGAATAAGAATATAGATTACATCA